AAAGCAAATTGTACTTGCTTTTTTTTTTTTAGCATAAATACATTTATTTTCTAACCAAAGGGTTGATCCTAATTAAACCAGCACTCGGAAATAGTTGTACGCAAAATGTTTGCGATAAAGGTAACTGAACACAGTGATGAAAAACAAAACAGCCTGGAGAGATTTGCTCCTTGAACTGAGCTTGTTTATCTTCACAGCTAGTTCTTGTCCAGAAGGATGATGGAATTTTTACTCTACTTTTTCATAGGTCTGAGTACAGGTGACACTGTTTAAGACACATTCCACCACTAATTTCCTGCCTTCCAATCTTCTCATTATTGTACTTTTCTTCCCATTCCATTCCTGATGTTGAACCAATGACGGATTTTGGAGAGAAAGAGAGAGAAACATTGATATGTTCCACTTATTTATGCATTCCTTGGTTGGTTCTTGTATATGCCCTGACTGCGATTGAACCCGCAACTTTGGTGGATTGGGATGACAACAATGTGCCATTTATAAAGTTGCAGACGGTCTGAGTTTTTCCACCATAAGCTGTAGTTTCTTCAAACTTCTCTCCCAGGTTACCTGAGAACTGTCGTTTTCAATGTGCTCTCAGTTCTTATTAAGGTTTTTGCCACCAGAAGTGATGACATAGTCTGGTTTGGCCATGGCACCCACTTTCCGCAGAGCCATTCCCACTCCTAGTTCCTTCAGGTGCTCCTGGAAGCCGTAGCTCTCCACTAAGCACCGTCTTCCTAGCAGCTGCTGAATGGTGGCCATGTGAGTGCAGGAGACGTGTGGCCAGCCTGAGCCGAGAAGAGTTTGATGCCAGGAACATGGCCTGTACCTGCTATTTTATCATCTCTTATGTTTATCCTCACCTCAGGATATTTTTTTTTCATTGATTTTTTTTTTTTTAGAAGGGAAAAAGAGAAACATCGTTGTGAGAGAGCCACATTGGTTGCCTCCCGCACACACCCCAACTGGCCCATAATGGAATCTGCAAGCCAGGTACGTGTCCTTGACTAGGAATCGAACCTGAGACTCTACTGTCCGCAGGCCTACGCTCTAACCACAGAGCCATACCAGCCAAGGCTATACTCTCTTTTTAATTAGCATTATCTCCACCTTTCCATATCACTACATTTTAAAATTTCATCTAATAATCAAGTCTGTATTCAGAAATCCCCAGTTGACCCAATGTTTTTGAAAGCTATTTTTCCAAGTCATAATCCAACCCAGGACCACAAGATTCCATCTGGTTGTTATAGCCTTTTATTAGTTTTGAAGCTAGTTGTCAAT